GAAGCAACGCTTCTCATACTAAAACAAACAAGCAAAATGACACCCCTTACTTTGTATTAAAGTTCCTTTTACATGACAGACACACTGAGGAGAACCCATACTTTTAAGGGAGAACTGTGTGCTTCATAAATGAAATCTACAAGCCTTAGATTGGGTTGGAGTGTGGTAAATACTGTCTGTGGCTGAAGACTTGCTAGAGATGGGGAGTGACATTTTTTGTTGGGGGGAAGAAGGAGGAGGAATGAAGCTTGAGTATGAGTGGTGGGCATGCTCAGCTTTCTCAGTGAGTGTTCATGGAATAAGCTTTTTTGCTTCTGGGGCCACATATTGTGTGATTAATTTTTTGTCATTAAAAATACCACATTTGGATTTGGAAGATCTGAATTTGTACTTCAAAGGTGGCACTGTTTTCTTGGGGGATTTAATAGAGACGTCTTGTTCAGATTGCCAACTCCAATGTGGTTACAAAGAAATCATACACAGAAACCAAGTCACCATGGTAGCGGGCATGGTTCATAAAGTGGATTTTGGACATATTCTGAAACTTTTTTGCTTGTGCATCAAATTCTTAATGATATTTTCGGTATCGAGTTGTTAAGAAACAGAATTTAAAATGCTCCCACTGTGTAATTCAATGCAAATACTTTATAACCTTTGCTTGTATGTAAGTGTATGTTTTTAATATCAATTTTATACACAGAGTCTTAGCAGAGTATGGGAGGTCATTGTTCCTATAAAAAGTAACGACATTTTAAAATGTGTGTCTTTCCTACATCTGCAGGAATTTTAAAAGAAATTTGTTAACAAAGTATAACAAAACAGAGATGGTATTGAAATCCCTGGAGCAGAGGGAGAATGGCTGCTGCCTGTGTTAACAGTACCTTCCTCTGCTGGAAGAGTCATCTAAATTGAGCTCAACTCTTCCCATCAGGAACTGTGAATTAAATCTTTCCATTAGGTCCCCTCACTAAGCGGGGTTGTGCGTACATATTTGGGTTTCTCATATCTGCAGATCCTGTTAAGGGTAGCTGTGATGGAGTAAAGCTTTCTTAGATTCTGAATCTTAGATTCAGGTGTCCTGAGGTAAAAGGTGATTTTTTGAAGAAATTTCTATTATCATGAAGTGACCAGCTGTTGCAGATTGTTTGGTATATCATCCAGATGGTGTGTCTTTTTACAGTTCTCTGACGTTCTTCCTTGAATCCAGACACCCAAATAATGAAAACTGCTCAGAATCCGCTCTATAACTTTCTAAGCAGATGTGATGTTGCTCGTTTTCATCCCTGAATTGGTGACTTCCAGGGTGGATTATCATAGTAGCACATGCTTACAATTACGTATACAAATTGAAAGCTCACCTAATTTGACATGAAATCTCATCTGCTAAATAACAGCAATATTCTAAAATTATCGTTTTAGAATATTGTCTCTGTAACAGTGACTGAGGGCTAGGGCTCTGAGTTGTACCAAGTGTACTTAAGGAACCAGCTCCTCCTCAGTGCCTGAAACATTTTTCATAGTAGCTACAAAAAGCGATCTACCCATACAGTGTTGTCAGTGCTGTAAGCTTGGACATTTGGTGGGGACAGGACCAACAAATGTGCCCTGGATAAATCAAAGATAAAATTTTATTTTCAGAAATAATCACATTTTAGAGCATCTGTTTACCTTGTTTTTTCTATCATTGTTTGTGAGTTTGTGTTTGTGATGTTTTGTGAGAAAGTATCATGCACCAGAGTTGCCTTTCATTTTTTTAGTTCTCCCTAATTTCAAAGTAATGTGCAGAGTACAAACCTTTGATACACACTTTTTTTTTAAGGCTTTTTGTTAATAGAAGATGGTTTAACTTTCATGGAAGATATAAGGTTGTTGTCTTGGCTTTCAGCCAGTGTAAATATGGAGGGAAATTCCATATGCATTTAGATATTACTAGAGACATTTGTCTGCCAAGTTGGGTTTTTCCTTTCCTGCTGTAGGGCTGCTTGGAGCTGCTGCAGGGTTTGCTAGTTTCAGCCAAGTGGATAGAAGTTTATGATTCATATGCTTTGTTACACACTATCAGAAATAAGAAGTGAAAGAATGTGTATTCTTCAAGCCTCCACAAGGAGGCATGCAACATCTGGCTTATGGATCCTGCCATTTTTTCATCTTCAGACAGCGTTTAAGAACTTTGGCCTGCTGAAAGGGAGTGGTAATAAATGTCCCTCCTGCTTGTGGTGTTGTTCTGCTGATGCGATGGGGTTAACTTGTGGGGTGTGGAGAGGAATTGTTACCTCTCAGTTGTGTCTCTGCCTGCCCCATTTTGCCCTCATGGATGCTTATACACAAAAAACATTTTATGAAATGTTTCTCTGCAGGTTGTTGCAATGTTCATAAATTTGACAGTGGTGGTTTTTTGTTCTAAAAGCCGACATGAGAGTAGGAATTGAGATGCACTTTCTGTTTTTACTCTTCGGTTTGTGGCTTCGATATAGACATGTTTCTTATGAACAAGATGCCAGCAGGGAGCACTTTGTGAACAATGTTCTGTGCAGGTTTTCACTTATCCAGGCACAATATTCCAGCTGTTGCTTTCTGTATGGCATTGTTATGTTGACATTTTGCACGCATACAGGGAATCAAATAAATACTGCTTCCTACTTGTTTAACAAAAATAAATAGGAAATCGAATTCTATCATAATTAATGCCTTTGTCCCACTGTCTTGTGAAGACTCATTTCTTCAACACAATGACTTATTTATCCACCTGAAAGTATAATATCAAATATACTTCCATTAAGCTCTAAAGCCTGCCTGTGATATAATTTTGAAAAATGAGGAAAAGTGTAGTATAAAGTCATAAAAGTACACAGTGGGGTTTTTTTGTTGGTGGTGGTTTTTGGAGTTTTATTTTTGCTTTTTGGTCTTTTTGATGTTTGTGTTTGGTTTTTTCTTATTATTAATAATGCTGTTATAGCCACAGTGACCTAAAACCAAGGTTTGTAGGGAGGGACTTTTATCAGGCCAGGAAATACTTCTGAAAGGAAACACACTGTTTCTTCAAGGGTCTGTGTGTTTGCAAGCTAGCAATATCTTACATGTATGTGTATACATACATAGTTTTTTTATTTTTTCAGAGTGGGAGCTTAGATTATCCTCCATCTGCAAATAACTGAGAGTTGCCTGCATTCTAGGTCTTTTGTTTGAGATGTTTTTCTTTCTCCTTCCCGTGGCTTGTAATGGCTGAGGGGAAGGTTCCTTATATGGGTCAGCCTTAGCCCTCAGCAGAATTAAGCAACTGACATTTGGTTATGTTTTCCAAGGTGATTTCAGTGGTGGTCAGAATCTCTGTGGAAAGAGGTAGAGAGGGGAAGAGAAGGGACTGAACTTGGACAATCCCAGAAGCTGAAACAGAAGTTGCAATTTCATTTCCTATAGCAACATGATTTCCTATTGCATATTTTAAAAGAATCACCTTCCGTGCTTATTTTCAGTATTTTTCATTACCCTTTGTTCAAGTGCTGAGTATCATGCTATGTGAATGACTGCTCTCAGTCTTAGCTGAAATAACGGTGAAAATTCTGCATCAAATGTATTACATTCGCTTGCTGATGATCTATGTGGGCCATTTCTCCCACATCGTTTGGAACTGAAGGGAGCTCAGCAAAAAGCATTAACCAATTAAACTGACCTCACTGTAAACTTAGATAAACTACAAGATGCTACAAACTGACTCCTTTTTGTCTCTTACCAGTGTCACTGTCAAAAATGAAAAATTCAACTTGGTTTTACAGACATTCTTCTGCAAGAATAATGTACAAGGATCTCTAAAGAACTTATTTAATGTAGCAGATTATCAGCCTATGCTCTTGCCATGTGAAATACATAGGTGTGGGCCACCAAGGTACTACAAATGAGAGAAGTGGAGACTACTCCTGTTAAAAGTGTGAATTGTTTTTGTGCTCCTTTGTTTTCAAAACTATCCCTCTCATTCATGATGAAACTCTGGAAAATGCAAGTATGCACTGCTCATGGTCTGCACATTGAGTGAACTTCAAGACAGATGCTTGCTGTGTCATCACCGAGGCAAAGAAGGACAAATCAAGGTCTGCTAGTCATTCAAACCTTTGCTTGCAGTCTCCCAGGAAATCAGAATGGCAGTCATATATAACTACTGGGAATGGCATTAACTACAGCTTTGGGA